GGAGTCAGGCTGTTGGTGCTCGTCATGTCTGCACAGCTGCAACAGGACAAGTCAGAGTGATGGGAGAAATGAGAGATGGAAAGAAAATGTGTAGTGAAACGTTTCTGAGTTTATAATCAAACACGCATTTCAACAAGACAATATAAGTTTGTACACCTGCATGTTTCAGAAGGTACAAACAATTAAGTTCATTTAATTGAAAGTGATACACTCAAAAACTACTTACTTGGAAGCATTTCAGAATAATGTGTACTAAATGTACACCCAGTCTGAAAATTGTCATCCAAACTGGTCAATGTTCTCATATTTGATAAAAATCTGTGAGAATGTGTGGCAGTTATGAATGTTCACATATTTAAATACAGGCATTCAACATCCAACTCTTCTATTATCTGCAAAACTGACAAACATCCCCACTATTCACTGAATCGATAAATCACCATAAATCAAACACTCAAAATATCCAGTATGAACAGTAGTTTAAGTAAACGTTATTTGTGTGCTTAATGACACCTGTGAAGAACTGCACACAGCAGCCAAACAGATACAGAGTGAGTTATCAAGGGCTGTGATCTTTCCAAAAATTGAATCACTGAGTAAAGAGTCTGTGTCAGTTCATGGGCAATGAGACCTTAGAGAGATGTGCAGCCTCCTCCCTGATCTAATCCACACTGAGGCTGTGCTGAACCTTTATCATGTTTGGCTGCTACACTGAGAGCAGTCACATGTACACACAGGTCCAAAGAGACCAAAGCACCGTATGTCCAGCCCCTGAAAGCCTCACTGCTCAGTGACAGTTTACATCAACCCACCTCTGAGGTTTAACCATTTCAGTTTTAATGTCAGAAACCATACAGTACTTGGCAAATAAAGATGATTCTGATTATACACATAGTTACAAACACAGCAGTGTAACATATGCAGAGAAGTTCAGCAAGAAATGCACAGACCTGTAATACTGTAAAACAAAGTATTACATTTGATAAGTGAACATCAGATTGACTTACTGTGTCTTACTGAAACGTGGTTACAGCAGGAAGAATATGTCAGTCTAAATGAATCCACCCCACCTAGTCACAGTAACTGTCACATCCCTCGAAACTCAGGCCAAGGTGGAGGTGTGGCAGCGATCTTTGACTCAAGCCTATTACTCAACTCATTTGAAAGCCTCACTCAGAATCTCTCACACCCAAACTGGAAAACTCAAAAGCCAGTTCTATTTATTATTGCTTACTGTCCATGTGCTCCTTATTCAGAGTTTTTAAGCGAATTCTCAGACTTTCTGTCTGATTTAGTGCTTACAGACAAAATAATCATAGTAGGAGATTTTAATATTCATATAGATGCTGACAGTGACAGCCTCAACACTGCATTCTGTTCATTATTAGACTCAATTGGTTTTTCTCAAACTGTAAATAAACCCACTCACTGTTTTAATCACACCGTTGATCTTGTTCTGACATATGGCATCGAAACTGAACACTTAGTTTTTCCCCAAAATTCCCTCTTCTGGCTGACCATTTTCTAAAAGCTTTTGACTTTACATTAATGGATTATACTCTATGTGGGAAACAATTCCACTACAGTAGATGTCTATCTGACAATGCTGTTACCAAATTTAAGGAAATAATTCCATCATTACCTTAACGTTATTCCCACACAAGTCGATAATCTTGCTGATAGTACTGCAGCCTCCCTGCGTAATACACTTGATGTCATTGCCCCTGCGAAAATGAAGGCAGTGAAACAGAGGAGGCTAGCCACATGGTACAGCTCGCACCTCTGATACCTAAAGCAGGCATCACAAAA